CCTTACAACAACAGGCTGAGAGCCATGGGGCTCTTTAGCCTGGAAAAGCGCAGGCTCAGGGGTGATCTGATGGCCACCTATAAGTTTATCAGGGGTGGCCACCAGTATCTGGGGGAAAGCTTGTTCACCAGAGTGCCCCAAGGGATGACAAGGTTGAACGGTTATAAACTACTGCAAGACAGTTTCAGGCTGGATATAAGGAAGAAAAACTGATTTTCTAGACTCGCAGGCTGCATGCAGTTCTTGTTGCTCTCCAGGGCTTCTCTGCTGAAATCCTACCCACTTCTCCCCCTCCATGGAGGATCAGATGTGGCTCCTGGGGTGTGTAACTCTGGCCACCCTTGTTCTAGGCAAAGGAAATACAGTAGATGTAGTCTGTCTGGACTACAACAAGACACTAGATACAACGTCACATGAAAAATTATCAGTTAAATTGGAGCACATAGAGCCATGTACAAGAACTCTGAGGTGGGCAAGGAGAGTTGTATTGGTAGGAAAACTGGAGGGCGCTTATTAGGGCAGCTGTTTTAGGATCAGTCTTGGGATAAATCTTATTTAACATTTTCATTAATTTAATTGACAGAAAAAGGAGGAGTGTACTAATGGAATTTGTGGGTGACAGAGCTAGGTATTTTCATCAGTACAGAGGAGGGTTGGAAAAACTTACAAGAAGAATTGGATGACCGTGAAGACTAGAGTAATACAGATGCAGTGACATTCAGTAGTAAAAAGAGGAAGGTTATGCACTGTAGGGACAAATAACAAGAATTTCCGCTATAAACTGGGACTTTATCAGTTGAAAATGACAGGAGGAGCAAGACCTGGGTATGTGATTTGATCGTGGGATGATTATGAACCACCACCAGGATGTAGTGAAAAACCGTTTATGATCACATTTGCCTATCAGGTCGGGGATTTTCATGAGAGACTAAACAGTAATAATTTTGTTGTACAACGTTCTGTTGAGACGTCATCTGGAATACAGTATACTGTTCTAGTCACCCATGTTCAAGGAAGATGAATTGAAAGTGAAAGTGTTTTGAGATGATCGGGGATTCATGAACAGCACATGTTGCCCCCGGTGGTGTCGGCGGTGGGGTGGTGAGTGATGACGGCCTGCAGGCACCACCGACAGTGTCGGCAGTGCCTTTTTGTAGGGGGTGAACTGCCATGCTCAGGGGGTGCACATGCACTCCCTTCGTGTTGCCCCTGTGGGGAGCGGAGCATGCATCTTAGCCCAAGGCTGTCCAGCTTTAGAGTGGCCAGGAGCTCTAATGTCAGGGAAGAAGTTATTAGGCGTGTGCAAAGTGGCTAGTATTCACTTCAGGTTTGTGGGGATCTCTAGAACGTATACCCTGCGAATGGTGAGGGTCTCCTGTATGTTCTCAAGGCATATGTAGCTTTGCTAGGTCAGAAGTTTGAGGAAAATGAACAGTGTTTTTTTGCTGTTGAGGAGGACAGGAAATATTCCTTTAAAATATTTTTGCTCCTTGCTGTTAGCTAGAGCTGATGGAAAATTTTGATCTTTTGCTGAAAAATAAAAAAAGCCTGAAGGCAGGGGGAGCATTCAAGTTTTGGATAATAATTTCTGATTTCCAGGTGTAGAATCACAAATTGTCAAGAGAATGTTTTATTCTGTTAAAAACCAAATTTTCGGTCAAGGGAAAAGATGTATAAGAAATTTTTTGACTACTTGTACCAGTAACTTGGACATGACTACTGAACAGCAGCCATCCAGTGCCCCCCACATCTCCAGATCACAAGACATTGGCTGAGCAAAGGGGCAGAGCACATACAAAACAAATGGCATGTGGAGGGTGGGGAGCAAGTTTGCAGCCACTTCCCCCCACAAAGCAAAGGTTTACAAACCAGAGCCAGCATTCAAATGAATGTCCCACTCCATGCCCTGCCTTTCCCCCTCCACTCTGCCCCAAATGCATGGGGGCAGCACACTGGGAAGAGAGGAAAAGACTAGGGAGAGCTGCTGCTGCCTGCCAGGTATGGGCAGGGAGTGCAGGGAACCCCTTCCCCCTCTCCCCTCAGCAGCCCATACAGTGGTCACCTAACTCCTGCTTCAAGAAAGGGCAGGAAAGCAGGGCTGGGCTGTGCAAGTAGCCCGAGCTGCTTGCAGTAGGCCACTGCAAGCCTATAAGTGGCTGCATCAGTGTCCAGAGCTGACTTGTTGGCAGTGGCTGCACATGTGCCTCAGTGGCCTCCAGCCCCTGCCCTGCTATGTGCCCCAAGGTGTGCGTGCAGCCACTGCTGCCACAGAGCCTGGGTTGCTTTCAGCAGGCGGAAAGCAGGCTGTAAACGGTTGCACCGGGGTTCAGAGCCCTGGTCCTGCTCTGTAGCAGCAGTGGCTGCACACACATTATGGCGTACTTGGTGGGGAAGGAGCTGGGATTGTACTGTCCTAGGCCCCTTCCCCAGCATGTGCCTTGATGCACATGTGCAGCCACTGCTGCCATGGAGCCAGGCTGGGGCACCAGACCCTGGTCCACTGGTTGCAGCCTCCTGGCTGCCTGCCACATCTGGCCTGGGTTCTGAGCAGCCACTGCCTGCCACAGAGCCCTGTTTGCAGCAGGGCTTGCAGGCAGCCTGGGCTCTGTGGCTGGCAGTACAGGCCAGCTGTGGTGTGCCGAGCAAAATGGCCTCGCGTGCCATCCTATGGCACATGTGCCGGCGGTTGCTGACCCCTGCTGTAGGTAAAAAGTGTATACTGTTTTTGTGCATATTGGTGAAAGTACAAAAAACTTTTAGTACAAACTTCTAAAAATACCTTGCTGTGCAAAAAAAAAAAGAAAAAGAAAAGACCCTCAATGATATCCTTTCTAAAGTGGAAGAAATCATGCGTCCTTAATGCTAAATTCAGATTGGGAATTTCCAAGCTAACCAGTAAGAGAGGAATAGTTGTATTTTAGTATCAGGTCAGAGAGTTGTCCTAGATAACTGTTAATGATACTCGGTGACTTCCCAAAATAACCCTTGCAACAGCTTCTCAATATGCTGAGCTAGTGTGGTTTCATCAATTTTTCTGTATAGTAAAGCAGTTCATATCTCTATGCTGTTTTTTTTTTTTTAGCTGAAGGATAGTATGTATTACCTACTCTAAGGATCTCTGAATAAAATATTAGGTAACAAAGTTTATACTTCCATCAAACATCAAATATGTGTGTTTCAATGCTGTGTATTACAATCTTTCTCACTTTATATTATCTCTCAGTCTCCTCTCATTATACGGTGTTTCAGCAATAAGTGAGGGAAGAACTCTTGTATTAATATGGGATGCTCTGGTGAATCTAAACCATTTTTACACTGTAGTTTTATTAAAACCAGAAAAAGATGTGATTGTATATATGAAAGCCATCCAATATTATAGCTCAATATAAAATCTTGTGCTTGTTCCTGGAAGACAGATTTATCAGATATTGTTGAGGATTGTTACTCATGTTTAGTGTCTGATACTGTTGTTTTGCTCTGCTTTTGTCTGTTCTGTCAATAGCCAAAAGCAGGAAGCTTGTCTTCCTTCAGCTGATTCTGGATCAAGGCCCTTTTTCATAATTTATTTAGTCTAGAAGTCCTACCAAAGTTGATACTATTGTTTATGGCTCTGAGGATAGAGGATTAGGACTCTAGGATGTAACATATGCCTATATAAATAAAACTGGCTCTAATACTTACCTGTTTTCATCATCACTGCTGCTCTCCCAACCCAAGGAGATTTATATCTTCCAAAATAACCAGATCATTAACCTTTCATTCATGGCACATTCAAGACAAGAATATGAGAGGATTCATGTGCATGACTTTTTGTATTTTCAGATGTGACCATACAGCAGTGCTAAACAACAATCTGTTTCAGGACTGTACTGTGTGGGGAGTTAATACTTCCTTTCCTCTTCCTACTTCCAGTATGATTGATTGATTTATTGATTTTATTTCTTTAGCTGCCAGTTTGTGGGGTCCGTACAAGGACATATGGCAGACTGTTGTAAATGCCATCTGGAAAAGACAGCCTGAAGCCATCCATCTCCTTGACCAGATTTTGAAGAAACACAAGCCTGACTTTATCTCGCTCTTCAGAAACCCGGTACTGAACTAAATTTCTTTCAGTATGTGTTGAAGAGTAACTGTTATGCTGTTTTAATTTAGTGATGTTTTAGTATAAACTCCTTGGGGTGTGGATCTCCAAAACTACGTTTCCCCTGGTGAAGCTTGAGGCCATTGTTCCTAGTCATGTCCATTACAGCCACAGAGAGAAGCCTATCCTTATCCTCTATATAATCACAGAGCACAAAATCCTTTCTACTTGTATTTTCTATATTCTTGGTACAGTTACCTAAGCCTATCAGCAGGCAGAGAAGGTGAGCATTTGAAATTAAAAAGACGCATAGGATGTACCTCCTTCCATGTGTGGGATGAGGTAGAAAAGCTCATCAGTGCTTGAGTGATGGAGCATTAGATACCTGTAATCTCTGTGCTGAACCTGGGTGTGCTTTTCAGAAGCATACTTTGACAACTTGATCTCATTTGCATCAAATCCTGGACATGAAGCAGCATAGCTCCTCGACAGTAGCCCTGAACACATTGCTCAGAGCTGGTCTCAGGCTCTAGCTCAGATTGTTTAATAGCAGATGCTCAGGGTGTTTTAAAGTGTCTAGATTTCCTCATTTCTGGGAATTGGTATTCATGGAGTACAAATAAATGGGCAGGTCTTGCTTGACTGTTGAGGAAGAAATGTTGCCAAAGATAACGGAACAAATTTGACCTTTTCTACACATTTGTCGTAGAATTTTTTTTACTTTTATTTGTAAGGATGGTAGATTGAAAGCTTGAAGAGTTATATGCATAGGTCTCATGTCCCTGCATTTTAGCAGTTGAGCCACATCTAGAAAAGAGAAGATGTTACTTTTAAAGCAGTTCCTTCTTTAAAAGTTTCTCATCAAGATTCATGATGGATTTCATCAGGATTAGATCAGTCCTGCTGGAAAAATTCCTATTGGGATGGTATCAAAATCTACTTTAGAAGCTTCAGTTATTCCAAATAAAATTGGTGACAAAGTTTAGTTTATGAGACAGTAGTCTCACAAGAAGCCCAAGACTGACAGTGTGAGATGTTTTTGAGGATACATTTACTAGCTCTGCAAAAATATAGTTGGTGTTGGTGATGAAAATCTAACATGTTTACAAATACAACTTTAAGAAGGATAAATGTGACAAGCTTTGCTAGATGACAGGTAAGTGCTGACAGAAATGATTAATTATTTAGCATCTCATCTTTTTGGTAACTTCTCTTGTTACTTGGTTTTCTTTCAGCCAAAGAATGCTCAACAGCATGAGAAGATTCAGAAAGCAAGTACGGAGGGAGTTGCTATCCAGGGTCAGCAAGGAACCAGACTTTTGCCAGAGCAACTTATCAGAGAGGCCTTTATCTTGAGTGACCTCTTTGATATTGGGGAATTGGCAGCTGTTGAGCTCCTTCTAGCTGGTAAGGACTCGCCGATCCTAGGGAAGAGTAGTTGAGAGTTGTGGAAATGCAGCTCTGATAGAGACTGCTTACTTATAGTTAAGCACATGCTTAAGTACTTTGTTAGATCAGGGTTTTAGCTTCTACATTTAAGATGCTCTCAAGGAAAATTAACATGCATGTTGATGCTGTAGTTTAATAGATAATATTCTGAGTCTCTTTTCATGGCAAAAGGGGAAGCAAGAACAGTACCATATTTTCTTGCATATAATATCACCAGGATTATAATACCTTATTTCTGAAACAGCATGAAGAAAGAAAGGTCTTGTAGGAAGTAACTGAATAGCAACAGCTAGGGAGCCAAGCCTGCTGTCAGCCCCATGCACTGGATGGGGCCTTTGGACTGACTCTGCACCCTGGGTCCAGGGCTGCATACTGGCCTGGTCCAGTGCATAGGGTCATGCCATCTGGCCAGGGGGCTCCTGCCAGGTCCAAATACTTGGCAGCAGTGGTGGCAGTGTTAATTGCCAAAGCTCCTGAGTCATGGCAATCAACACTACAGCTGCTCCCAAGCTGTCAAATTTCCAGAACTATGGGGAACCCTGTGGGTTGGATCAGTGGTTCCCAACCTTTTTAGACCATGGACTGGCAAACTGCAAACCAGCAAACTGTGGACCAGCATACTGCAGACCAGAAGCGACTGGCATACTGCAGACTGGCAGGCAACCCTTTTTTATACTCAGTATATACACTCAATATGAAAAAGGGTTGGCTGCCGGTCACTTTCAGGCTTCCGGTCCGGCAGCCAACCCTCCTACAGACCAGCAGCCAACCCTTCGTGGCCTGTTACCAGGCTGGAGCCCAGGAGTTGGGAACCTTTGGGTTGGATGACTTAGATTCATGGGCCAGACTTTGACTCCCACTGCAGTAAGCAGCAGAACCTGATCTTATCGTCTTTCTCACATATAGGGATTTCTTAGGGTGATATCTTTTTATTACACCAACTGTATAGTTGGGATCTAGTTAGACAAGCTTTTGAATGCAAGACATTGTTCATCAGGTCTGAACAGTGAGAGCCAACACAGCATGATTGAAAAAAAACAGCTGTATGAAGGGAGTGTCGGGGGGAGGAACAGGACAGGAGGGGAGTGGTGAAGAGGGGAGAAGAAACTCCTAAGAGCAGCAGCCAAACAGTTAGCAGAAGAAAAGGTGCTGATGACTGGGAGATTAAAGCCCAAAAGGGAGGAAGGTCTTTTTCACCTTTCAAGTGTAGGGAGAATTCAGGGATCAGATAAAGTTATAAAGAGCCCTAAAACCGATATCAGTTCTAAGTTCTTTGTTCTTAGTGTCCAGCCAGATGATGAAAATTTGCTCTAAAGTTCACCTGTTAAAGGTCTTAGGTTGATTTCCCTTGAACAGGAGGTTAATGAGGTCAGAGAAGGTGTGGCTGTTTTGTGAGAAATATGCTCCTAATAGGGTATGTCTCTGCCCTCTTTATTTTTTCTGTGAGAGTTCATTTTTATGTGTAGTTGCTGTTTAGTTTCTCTTATGTAATTGCCATGAGGGCATTTTGTGTACTGGATCAGATAACATCACATTTTAGGGAAGTCATATGTAGCAATCATGGATTCTGATAGTTTTGTTATGGAGGGGTATTGATTGTAGTAACAGTAGAGATGTGATGGCAGGTTAAGCAATTCTTGCTAAGGCAAGGCTGTGTCCCCTTTGATGTCTGTTAGGCAGTGGGGAATTTGCTTCTGGTAATGAGTTGGACAAGGTTAAAGGCTTGTTAGAAACCCAGGAGGGGAGGGGCTAGAAATATTTTTTTCTGGGTTTGATTTTTGTTAAGTATAGGTTGTAGTTGTTTGGTGATTCTTCTTATCGTTCCAGTGTGGGGTGGTAGGTGACCACCAGGCGTGTGCAGTAGCAGGTTTGTATTGTAGTAGATTATTACAGGGTATTAGGACAGCTCTTACAAATGTCCATTATGTTTATTAGAGCATCCTTGTTAGATTGCTGAGCTGGGCATACTCAGAGCAGATATAGTGATATCTGAGGGTCTGACTGTAGATTACAGCTTTTTTTGGTATCTTTGGGCTAACTGATGGTCTTGTGGACATATGTATGGTGATCTGCGTATTTTTTGTATGCTGTAGTTTGTAAGGTGCCATCTTGGTTATGGATTATGGTATCTAGAAGGTTGATATTAGCATAGAAGGGATGATAGTTGTTAAACCTGTGGTGGAAATCAGTAAGAGAGTCCAAGTGTTCAGTCCAGAAGGTGAAAATGTCTGTGTAATGCAGGTTTGATTGTATAGTTTTCTAGAATTTTTTCCTCCAGATGACTCATGAAGAGGTTGGTATATTGAAGGACTATCTTTGTACCCATAGCTGTGCCCATGGTTTGGAGGAAATGTTGAGTGTTGGAAGTAAAGTTGTGGGTGAGGATGAAGTGAATGATTTATGCAACAAGTTGCAAATCTGAGTGTACTTCATGTTCTTCTAAGTATTTCAGGCAGGCAGTTGTGCCTTCATGGTGTGGGATGTTAGTGTACGGGCTGGTGACATCCATGGCTGTAAGTATGGCCTTCTTGGAGAAGGTGGTGGATTCTGTTGAGCAAGTGTATGGTAGTGGTGTCTTGGAGGAAACTTGCTCTTCGAGTGACAAGTGGTTTGAGGATAGTTTCTGTGAATCCTGATATCCCTTCTTCAGTGAGAGTGCCACAGTTGGATATGATGGATCTGCTAGGGTTACCTTATTTGTGGATCACTGGGGAGCATATAGAAAGTTCCTGGGGTAGGAGAGTGGGGGATAAGTGGAAGCAGTTTTTTTTGAGACTGGCATGGGAAGGATCTGGTGATATTTTCCAGTTCCAGAGCAGGTTTTGGTGTGGGATCCTCTCCAAGTTCTTTATAGTATTTGGTGCCAGACAGTTGTGTGTTGGCTTCATTGACATAATCTTGACAGTTGAGGATGGCTATAGTTCCACCTTTTTCCGCTGATTTGATTATTATTTTGTTGTTGGATCTTAGGGACTGTATGGCTCTTTTTTCTGAGGGAGAAAAGTTGTGGTCCTGACTTTTTTTTTTTTTGGTGCATTTTGTTGTTAGCTTTCTTCCTGAAACAGTCAGTGTGGTAGTCCAGTGTGTGGTTATGTCTGCTGGGAGGTATCCAGTCTGATGTTTTGTACTGTTAGTTTTCTCAGTTGTGGCAGGAGGATTGTCAGGAATGGTTGTGTCCTGGTTATGGAATTATGTAACAGGCATTCCAATTTCCAACAGTTGTTATTTTGGAAAATACAGTAGTTGTTTGACTACGTATTGCACAAGTTCTTATAATGAAATTTTAGTAGGTAGTAAAAGGTTACATATAGTTGATTTTGAATTTCTTCATGAAACAGTATTGTGGTTAGTTCTGTAAAGTGTGCATTATTTGAACAATGAATTTATGGCCATACCATGATATCATAACTAATTTCCAGGGGATGAATAATATAACTGAAAATAGTTTTATGTTACTTGGCAGGCAGAAAACTAATCTTACAGTTATTTAAAAAAAATCTGCTAGTGATCACTATCAACCACTTTTGTCATCTTTCACATGCATCTTTTATGAATGTGTGTATTTTTATTAATTGTGAAGATAATCTTGTTAGTAATGATTGACAGATCTGAAAGGCCAGCATGAAGTTTTAAAATGAATTAAATTGAAAATGGAGGTTTCCAGTGTAGATTGAGGTTAGGACAACCTCCCTTTCCAGTACATAATTTAATTGTTATTGAAATTTTGATTGTGCTTTTTATGTGCTTAAAATAAACATCTATATGAAATGCAGCATCCAGAGGTTTGTTAAACTTGTTTGTCTTGTTTTTTAAGCCCTTGATATCCTTTAATATTTAAATTTGATTTTTAAGAGCAGATGCCCAAACATCAGGAACTCTTTGGACAGACCTGAAACAAACTGCATTGATGGTTCTTAAAACAGAGCAGTGCACTAACACCAATATTTTGAGCTTGGAGGGTTTTTACTAGTTTTGTAATGTAATGGGCATATCTACACATACCCGTTTAAGGTGCTTTAGCTCTATTTAAGGCGCATTAAGGGTGTGTGTCTATACATGTGTGCCCTTAATGCACCTTAAAAATTGTGATTTTAGGTTGTTCGCACCTAAATTTGATACCTGCAAAAACAGGTATCAAATTTAGGCATGAATAGCTTAAGTGCATTGATGCACATGTAGACTCATTAAGGCGCATTAACCCCATGTATGGACTGACTTGGGACTAACTTTAGTTCCATGTCAGTCTGTGCACACAGAGTTAATGCGCTTTTAATGCATGCATGTGTAGACGCAAGCCTAAATCGCCTTAATGCTCATTAAGCTAAGTGCATTAAATTTAGGCATGCCTAAATGCACATATAGACGCACCCAATGATCATTAGAAATATAAAAATGCAATTTGTATGTGTTGAGACTTCTTTTGTGATTTTCATATTTTTTTCATTCTGTAGGAGAGCACCAGCAACCTCATTTTCCTGGCCTTACACGGGGCTTAGTGGCTGTTCTCTTGTACTGGGATGGAAAGAGGTGCATTGCCAATTCACTACGAGCCCTTGTCCAGTCACGGAGAGGCAAAACATGGACGCTCGAACTCAGGTTTGTTTTCAAGTGCCTATTTTGGGAGAGTTGGATAAAGGGTTCATTTTATTTGTGCTGTTTATTTGTGGTTTTTATGGCTGACTAATTTTGGGGGACCTAGATATTTTCAGTTCCTTAGCCACTTTGGAAAGCATAAAAGCCAACTCTGTTTACTGAGTCTGCTCTTGGGCTTTCTGAGAGTTAATTCCTAGCTCTGAAAAAGTACAAAAAAGATGTGGTGAATCCTTGTGAGAAAAATACCAATAGAATTTGAGGGTAATAGCATATGTAGGTTGGGATATCGCTGATCTAGTGGCTTGGTGGCAAAGTTTTGCTTAGGTGGCCTTTTTGTTATCAGTCTAACCTACTACTATTTACTGTACTTGCTCAAATATAAGACCCTGATTATAAATTCCCCAGTAATTAGATTCTATATATGGAAAATTTAGAAATGTGATATATTTTCCGGGTATAGAACCTAATTATTGGATGTTTGCTTTGAATTTGTTAACCTCATTCTGCTATAGCATGGAAAATAAATCTGGGGGGGGTCAGATAGACCATTTGCCCTCTTCGTCTCCCTACTTCTTCCCCCTGCAGCCTTTTCCCCATCCTTGTTGGTAGACCCTGTTCTCCCTGAGCATATGGAAATGAGGAACAAATTTGAAAAAACTGACCTTGAAATAAATGTAGCTGTAGTAATTTGCATACACTGTAGTAGCCATAGACTTAGTTCGCCCAGAAATGATGCATTTCACCTTTTTTGAAGCTACTGCAAGTTTTAGCACACGTACTCCATAAACACACTTTTAAGTAGCACTTTGGCAGGTGTTCAAACAGAATACAAGCTATCCATGATATTAATCCAAAGCCAAGAGGCTCATGATTTACCATATAGTTAATTGGGTTGGGCCTCAGAAGAGTCAACAGCATTTCCAGCCATGGTGACTCCATAGCTCAGCAGTGCTCAGTTTGTGCGTGTGTGTACTCCAGATGTTCCCCCCCCACCGACAAAGGATCTGTGTGTTAATTAGCCCCCCGCTCATCATTAGAACCTTGTCACAAGTCCTGAGATCCTCTGGAAATGTATACGTGGATGAACTGCAGGGCAACCTGGTTTCGCTCCATGTAGGGGTGCACCAATAGAGACTTTTGGGGCCAATACTGTTGACCAATTTTTTTTTAATGAACCATATCCGCCGGTACTGGTCTGATTACTGATATACAACAGCTCTGCAGCATGGACAGCAGCCGGCTCTGGCTGGTAAATCTGTTGTGGGGAAGGGGTGTGGACAGGGAAGGGGCATGGGAGGGGCAGATGGAGGCCCGAGGGAGTGGGGTAGGGGCAGGGGCTGGCACTGCCCAGCTGGCATGGGACATGGGATGGAGCTGCAAGCAGCTCCTCCGGGGGTGTGTGAGGAAGGAGTGGCAGCTCCCACCCCTGCATGCACCCCGGGAGGGCATGGGGGAAGTGTGCCCCTGGATCTGCATGCAGGATGAGGGAGGGCTGCTGCTGCGGGCTGTGGTTGGTGCCAGGCTTTTTCTGGAGGTGGGGCTGGACTGGAGCTGCACTCAGGGTGGGTGGCGGCGGTGCTGGGATGGAGGCTATGGAGGGGGGGTGCTGCAGCCACCCCAAAATTCACTGTAGCCCCCGTAACCCCCACTCTCAGTGCCACCACCACCCACCCTGAGCACAGCCCGGCTCAGTCCCCACACTGGGAAGAGCCTGGTGCAGCCCTGGTCTGCAGTGGCAGCCTGTCCTCACTCTGTGTGCAGATATGGGGGCACACACCCCATCCTGGGGAGTGTGCAGGGGCAGGAGTTGCAGCCCCCTCCCTGCACCCCCTGAACCAGCAGCTCGCAGCTCCATCCTGTGCCCCGCCCTGGCTGGGCAGTGCCTGCCCCAGCCCCACTCCCTCCCTCACCGCAGAGGCCTTGATCTGCCTCCCCCCACACCCCTCCCCTTCTCCCACAACAGACTTGCCAGCTGGACCCAGCTGCTCTCTATGCTGCAGGGCTGCACTTCCGACTGCCTGCGTGCTGTGGCTGTGGTTGGGGCTGCGCATGCTTGTGGTATTTATTGGCCACGTCAGCCAAAAAATGCTCATTGCCAATACTGTAAATTTGCCTTATACTGGTGCCGATCCAAGTGGACAATAAGCTGAATCTGAGCCAAGAGTGTGCCCTTGCTGTGACGAAGGCTAACAGCATACTGGGCTGCATTAGTAGGAGTATTGCAAGCAGATAGAGGGAAATGATTATTCCCCTCCCTTCAGCACTGGTGAGGCTACATCTGGAGTACTGTGCCCCCCGCTGTGTGGGCCCCCCCGCTGCAGACAGGATGTGGACAAATTGCAGAGAGTCCAGCAAAGGGCAGTGAAAATGGTGAGGGGACTGTGGGGGACATGACTTCTGAGGAGAGGCTGAGGGAGCTGGGCTTAGTTAGTCTGGAGAAGAGAAGACTGAGAGGGGATTTTATAGCAGACTTCAACTACCTGAAGGGGGGTTCTAAAGAGGATGGAGCCGGACTGTTCTTTGTGGTGGGAGATGACAGAACAAGGAGCAATGGTATCAAGTTGCTGCAAGGGAAGTCTAGGTTAGATGTTAGGAAGAACTTTCTTGCTAGGAGGTAGTAAAGCACTGGAACAGGTTACCTTGAGAGGTTGCGGACTTCCTATCCTTAGAGGTTTTTAAGACCCAGCTAGACAAAACCATGGGTGGGGTGATCTAGTTGAGAATAGTTCTTCTTTGAGCAGGGGATTGGACTAGATGACTTCCTGAGGTTCCTTCCAATCCTATTTTTTAATGATTCTACTAGCAAATTTCCCATCAAGAATGACAGGGGAGAGGTGGGCAGGGACAGAGGCCTGAGTCCAGCCCCCAGCCCCCCCAGATGCTCCCCTCCTTGCTCCGCCCCCCTTTGGGCCAGGGCCACTCCCTGTCTCCCTCCTGTTGCTTTGGGCAGGGGCCGGGACTTCTCCTTGCTCTCCCCTGCCGCTTCGGGCTGGGGGGGAATTACTGCTTTGGGCCAGGGCCTGCAGCCATGGTGGTGGCAGTTGCTTCCGTGGCGGGACACAATCACCAGTAACCCAGCCTACCCTTCCCGCTTCTCTCCCTCCCTCCCTTCTTCCCTGCAGCCTCCCCCTCCTCATTGGCTGTTGTTGGGGGGGGGGGGGGGGGGGG